GGCCTTCTGTGTGTTAGACAGATGTGATAACCGCTACACCACGAGACCCCAGAAACACTACAGATTTGGTTGCTATATGTACCATTAAATAAAACAAGAAAAACTTTTTTCTGCTACATCACTGCCCTTCATTCTTCAAATCTTGGAACCAATACACACTTTTCGGTCTAACTTACTAGCACAATCGAAAAACTTGTCGAGTAAGCTGATACAAATCCGTAATGTTGTACCACTTATATCTGTTCATGAATTCAAATAAATTATTCAAACATTATCCCAAAACACTTTGTTTTGTAGCTTTTACATGCATGAGAATCAGTTTTGTCTGCAAAAAGCTGCCATTAGCAAAATAAATATAATGAAAAGGAATACGAACAACGTATGCAACATTTTTAAAATAATTTTGCTAACTACTATTGCTGAGGTAAATGGCAACTGGGAAAAAATGATCTGAATCTTTTTTGACTTTCCATCCACTAATTCTTATCTCAATATCAACTGTTAATGATCCGCATTTTGTATGGCTTGTTCAGTGTGGCATAGCTAATGATCATAAAGAATAAGACAACCATTATCACTTCTCACAGTGAAAGAATACACATGTAATATTGGAAAATATGTGTGCAGTTTTGTAGATTCTTGCAATTATTGTCAAATACGCTTGTATTATTTAAAGTTTAAAAGTTTGAATGTTGACGAAAAGTATTTTGCTAGTGAGCTTTTGCTTCAAGATAAAACTCATTTATTCAGGAAGACTAATGACGCATTCAAATATATAAGTAAACTGTGCTGACATGTTGCCGAATAATTCTCATTCTTATTCTCTTCACTCTCCCTAATTACTTGGTTTTTCTTAATCCCGTAGTACAGTTCGAGTTTGTAAAACTATCTGGAATAGCTATCCTGTACTAGTTTACCCTTTAGGAATATTTTATACGAATACATGTTCATCTAAAAATTGTTATTTTAGTGATATTTGCAATTTTTTATTAAACTTGTGATAAATGCTACGTTTATATTCAGTATCCGTCCTAAATTTTTCACACGTCTATAAATTACGATTGCATGAGTTGAAACGTTTTTTCATCATAATTTTCTGACAAAAAGCAAACTTTGTAGTTCAATTTAGTTTACCTAATAAGCAAATTATTTCTAATAAGTCGAATTGGTGCTCGTCTTTATCATAATTACTAATGAATAAGTCTTTATATGTTATATTTTTCTCATAATCTGTAAGACATAATGCTTTTTTAACCTGAACGACAAATTTTCCGAATTGAGCTGAATTATTGTAACTAGAAATGATTTTCTCGGAAATTTGAGACACCTTTTAAAATACTGCAAAGTTAATTCAGATATTGAATCGAATTTCCTTAGGCATCATTTATTTGGGTTATGAAAATGAAGGTCTGTAATAGGTCAGTAACACCAGTCCAAGAAGTTATAGCAAGAGGTAGAAGTGAGAAGCTCTTAACGTTCTACTAGAGCCTACTTGAAGAGAATGAAAGTGAACGAATGGAAGTGAATAAAAATGCTTTCAAAAGCTCAAAAGCTGGAAGCAGCTCCTGAACCTCAAGGATGTAGAATAATAATAATAATAATAATAATAATAATATTAACAATCATAATCGTAACAATAATAAGAATAATATTATTAATATTAATATTAATAATAACAATGATAAAAATGACAATAATAAAATTAATAATACTAATAATAACAATAATAATAATAGTTATAAGAATAATATTTCCGTCACGAAACCATTCGTCGAGAAAAACGACTAGAATATATTTATGTTCAAAATGATGTAAGCATTACAACCAATTTGCGAAAAAAGATTATGAGCGAAAACAGAACAAAATCCATAAAAGCACTTGAAATGCTAATAAATACTGCATTAACAAAAAGAATGGATATAAATTCTTTCACTGATAATTCAAGAATGCATGGAAACTGAAAAGCGCTAACATACATTACATCCACTATGTCTAAGTTTGTTCTAATTATCAGACCCCGCTACCACTTTTTGCAATGTCATAATCGAGTTGTTCTATGCGATACGTGCACACTTGTGTTTCTTAAATTGTGAGGTATGTGTGAAGTTCTTTCCACAAATATTGCACATCTGTGGTTTTTGCCCGGTATGTGTGCGTTTGTGCGTATTCAAATTACCAGAGGACGTAAATGCTTTCTTGCACATATCGCATTTGTACGGTTTTTCACCGGTATGTGTGCGCTTGTGTACATTCAAAC